CTGTCCAGGCCTCCCCTTCAGGGACTGCTGGGCCGTCCCAGAGAGGCTGTCCTGCACTGGCCTCGGGGCTTCTCAGGAGCTCCTCAGGCGGCTGCTGTCTGGCTGTTCCTCTGTGAGGTTTTTTTGTGTGTTTCTGAGACTGGGTCTAGGGTCTTGCTGTGTCATCCAGGCTGGCCTCGTTCTCACTGTGTAGCGCAGCCTGGCCTCAAACTCACGGCAGTCCTCCTGACTCAGCTTCCCAAGTGTGGGATGGCAGGCATGTGCCACCATGCCTGGCGGCTGTGTATTCCTCTCCCCAAAGTTAAAAGCCTAATGGGGAGATGATAAAATGGCAACAAAGGACTTGTGCTTTTCACGGTGGAGTGACTTGATGTGCTGTGGATTGCCGTGGCTCCCTTCACCAATGTATTCTTCCCCCAGATGGGGAGGTGGCCTTGTTGGGTGGGGTGCTGTGTGAGGCTGTGTGAGTGCAGTACCCAGGTGCAGGGTCAGAGCCAAGCCATAATGATTTATCAGGGGAACGGTAGTGCTTGTGAGTTGGTAATTGTGTACTTAAGGGTTACTTGATACTGTTTTAAATGTACGGGTTGGAAATAAAAACAGTGAAAGCTCTGAACCCAGCTAGTTGGAGGTGGATGGCAAAATAGTGCAAATGATGTATCAATGAAGAGCGATTACAGTTTATTTTCAAGAAACGCTCCTCCTTCTAAGAATGCTAAGTGGTCCGCGTGGTCTGGCTCCTTTGTGAGTTCTCCACTAATTGTACGGGGGCCGCTGCCCAGGGCTCCTCCGCTGGTGTCCTTTAGCGTCGCCGTCCCGGCTGGCTCCTTCACTCAGGCGCTGACTGAGCGCCCTCCCAGGGCGAGGAAGGCATGCAGCCCTGCCCTGTGCCAGGTCCCTCCAAGGGGTGGAGGGTGGTTGGGCACGGAGGGGCTACCGCTTGAGGGCAGAGTGGAGAGGCAGCTGGCAGCCAGCAGCCAGCAGCCCGGGTGAGCTCCCCTCCCACCCTTCCTCCAGCCCCAGCTTCTGAGAGACACTGCAGGGCTGAGCACGGCTGGGTGTGTGTTGGCATTAAGGGATTATTAGATTTTTAAATGTGACAGTGGCGTGGTAGGTTTTTTGTTTTTTGTTTTTTCCTTCTGTACTGGGGATTAAACCCAGGGCCTTCACACTGTGCTACATCCTCGGCTCTTATTTTTTGAGACAGGATCTCCCTAAGTCACTGAGCTGCCCAGGCTGGGCTCGAACTTGTGATCTTCTCAGCTCTTTTATTTTGGGACATGTCTCGCTAAGTTGCCCAGGCTAAGCTTGAATTTGTGATCCTTCTATCACAGTCACCCAAAGCTGGGATTATAGGCATCTACTATCATGCCTGATGGTAGTTAGGTTTTTCTTTTTTGTTTTCTTTTCTCTTAGACAGGGACTTGCTCTGTTGCCTGCACTAGCCTTAACCCCTGGGCTCAGGTGTTCCTCCTGTTTCAGCCTCCCAAGAAGCAGGAACTACATGCATACACTATAGCACCCAGCTCTTGGAGTCAGTGATTTTGAAATGCCATAGTTCCTGGGATTTTGTCTAAAACCTAAGGGAGGCCCTTTTGGAGGTTGTGTCTGCGGTGTAAGAGGGCATGGCCAAGGGGGCCAGTGCAGTGGCAGCGGAGCAGGTAAAGTTTGGGATGGTTAGAGGGTGGGTACCAGGTGGACCCCAGGGTCAGAAGAGTGCAGAGCCCAGTGCTGGGTCAGCTTTGGGCCAAGGGCTTCAGGCAGAACCCATCTCAGAGGCCTCTGTCCCAGCAGGGAGGGCCATGCGGCCAGTGGCATTGTGGGCGCTGTTGAGGCTGAGGTGCTTGCCGTGGTTGTGGACTGGGTGGTAAGGATGCTTGCTTTAATCTTTCTCTCCTCCCTTCCCCTCCCTCTCCTCCTTGTCTGTCTGTCTTTTTTTTTTTCTTTCTTTCTTCCTCTTTCTTTTTGAGACAAGGTCTTGCTGTGTAGTTCTGACTGGCCTTGAACTCACTGTGTATGCCAGCCTGGCCTTGAACTCACAATGATCCTCCTGCCTCAACCTCCCAAGAGTGTGTGCCACCATGCTTGGCTTGCCACTAATTATTAATAATCCTTTTTGTGTGTGGTAACGGGATGGAATCCAGGGCCATTACACTGAACTACATCCCTAGTGGTTTTTAACTGAGATATAGTCTTGCTAAATTTGACAGGCTGGGCTCCAACTCTGTGATCCTCACGCCTCAGAAAGGGGCTGCAGTGGTGTACCACCATGGCCAGTGCGTGCATGCGTGTGTGTGAGTGTGTGTGTGTGTGTGTGTGTGTGTGAGATTTTAATCTGAATAATTGGAGAAGAATGGGCTTGTCACTGACTGGGGAGAACTGTGGCAGAGCTGAAAGTTTCCCGCTTCCTTAGAGCTTGTGCATTGTGCTGTACCCCATGCACTGTGGTCATGTGGAGCAGAACGCTTGGTCTTTCTTTATTGGAAATCAGTTGCCCATAAGGGCATGGGCATGCTCTTTGTTGAGCTACTTGGTTTGTGTCCGTGTCACACTGTTTTGATTATTGTAGCTTTATGTAAGTCTTGAGATCCATAGGGTGTGTCCCTCAAATTGGTTGGCCCCACTTTTTCATGATTCTGGGTCCTTTCTCTCTTTTTTTGGTGTTAGGGATTGAGGCCTGGGCCTTGCTTATGGTGTGTCCACTCTTAACACTGAGCTGTGCCTCCAGCCTTCCCAGAAATGTTAGAATCAGCTTATCATTACTACAAAAAAAGTCTCCTGGGTATTTTTGTTTGTTTGGCTTCTTTGAGACAGGGTCCTCCTATGTAGATCAGGGTGACCTTGAACTCACTATAGGACACTGATCCTCCTGCCTCAGCCTCCCGAGGGCTGGGATGATAGGCATGTACCACCATGCCCAGCTATGCTATCTTTTTTTTTTTAAGAGACAAAGTTTATTAGAGATTTTAGGGTGCACTCAAGAATGAAATGTGGGTGATCAGAGAAATGAGACACCTATGCTGAATATTCTTGAATGGGATTTTATTACACTTGTAGATCAGTTCTTTCTGTTGGGTTTGGTTTGTTATTGGGGATTGAACCCACGGAGAGTTGGGTTCAATTCTCGGCCCTTTTATTTTTCGAGATAGTTCTCACTGGCTTTCCCAGGGTGGCCTTGAATTTGTAATCCTCGTGCCTCAGCCTCCCAAGTAGTTGAGACTGCAGGCATGGGCCACCATGCCTTGTGTGAGGGTTTGAACTCTAGTTGGTTACTACTATGTAGAAATACAGCTCACTTCGTTATGCTTCTGGTCCTTGCCTTAACGATGGGGTGTATCCTGCCAAATCCATAGTAATTTAGGGACATGGTAAATTGGAAGTGTGTTGACCCCACCTTCCTGGCCCCGGTCCTGGATTAGCAACACAGCATGCTGTCCCTTGTCAGTTTACCTTCATAATTGTGTCACCTCCCCCATTGTGAGACAGGGTAGGACCACATACTGCTACCCCAGGAAAAGGCCCACGTTTAGAATTTGAAGGGTGCTTTCTGTTGACCTGCTGTCATTTCTGGACCATCGTGGGCTTGAAGCATGAGACACCATTGCGGGGGGGGGGGGGGTCGGTCGCTGTTGGTACTGACCTCCATGCAGCAAAGCAGGTGTGTGGTGAGCTCGCCAGCCTGCTTCTGGCTTCCCCTGCCGGGTGGAGGGTACAAAGGATGAGGGTTAATGGAACCCTTCGGGGTTCTTGGCCCAAGTGGAACCACAGAGCGGCAGCAAGGCTGGTTCCTGAGGAGCTGCACTTGCTGTGTCCTCGACCAGCCCTGGGCCTCCTTTACAAGGTGCTGTGTGCTCTGTGGTGCCCAGAGGTCTTCCTGAAGGTGTGTGCTGCTGTCCTTATTTCACAAGTTTTCCTGTGGGAGTGTTTCTCACCACCTATGAGCTGTGAATTGCTGTGAACCTAGTTTAAAAATAAAGGTTTCCTATCAGAGTGAGCTCCTGGTAGTCATGTGGGTGTAGTGACAATGGAGGTGGAGGTGGTGTTGACACCCTTCGAATTCGGCAGGAAGTCTGGGATCTGGCCTACAGCCTGAATGTCTGAAGCCCAAACCATTACTGGAAGGCCTGGGGCCATCCCATCTCTGGGATCTTGCCAACGTTGCCAAACACTTTCCTTTGGTGTAGGAAATGGAGCCCAGGACTTTGTGCATGCTCAGCTTCGCTCTACCACTGAGCTTCCCCTGTCCTGCAAATCCAGAGCCTTAATTCTCCTGTGTGACAGCAGGTAGCCCTTATGCCTGGGCACTGCAAACCCTGTGGGGATGACCCCTGAGGCTGGGGCCAGATGCCTTGTGCCATCATGTCTCTCAAGTGCAAAGCCAGATTTGCCTGGAGTTGTTTCCCTGGGGTTGATGCTAGGGGAGGTGATGGCAGAGGAAACTTAGAGGGAAGACCTGGATGCACTCTGGCTGCCACCTCCATGCTCTGTAACCCTGGAAGGTCTTGAGTGTCAGCGTGTCCAACTCCTGCCCTGAAAATTAGCACGATCCTGTGACTGCCCCTTAGGGTGTCTAGGGATTCAGAGATACATGGTGCTGTCCGCTGACCAGGAGCATGGAATGCACCCTGAAGCAGCTGTTGAGGTTGGCGGTATTTGTTATTAACACCAGTACTGTTAGAATAGAACCTTAAATCACCCAGCTCTGAGTTCAGAGTTGAAAGGTCGCAGGGATCTGGCTTCAGGATGTGTGGCAGTTTAGCACCCTCACATCTCCATTCATAGTGGTAGAGTTGGCGTCTGGCTAGTTAGTGTTTACTGCTTGTCCCAGTCTTGCTTCATACCTCACAGTCAGTAGAGATTCATTGGGGATCACAGCAGAGGCAAACCTTGTAGAAACCTGAAGTTTTGCTCTTCCACTGGTGGGAGGCACTGTAAACTGCCAGCATGTGCCAGACCTTTCTTTGGAAACTCAGTGTTTCTCTCCCTGTCCTTTGGTTTAGGTTGGTCAGTGCATTGGTGCGAGTTGCCTTTTGACGTATCTGCAGCCATGGCCCACTGCTAAGACTTGAGTGTCCTGTACCCCACGGGCAGGTGAGTGCTGGGGTCAGTATCTGTGGCATGAAGAGCTCCAGCTTGCCCTGGTCCGCAGGGCCCAGTCAGTGGGGTGGACACTTGGCCAAGTGCTGCTTCGGATGCTGGCAGCCATCTCTGGAGAGGACAGGGAGGTAGGGCTCTCTCTGCAGCACACCTGCCGCCCTTGAGGTTACCCCTGAGGCCCTGGGCTCGGACCTTGTGCTCCCTGGCCGCCTCACATTTGAAAGCCGAGGTGGAACAGGATGGGCCCAGCCTCTGTTCAGATCAGTGGGAAAGGATTATCCGGGCTGGCCGGTTGGCTCTTGCCCTCCGGCTGTTCTGTAATTTCCCATTGCTGCCCCGAAGGCTTAGAAGTTTCCTTGCTCACAGCACAGGGTCCTGCGCTGGTGCTGTGCCTCCTGGGAAGCTGTGTCCCCCTGTGTGAGCTCCCACGTGGGCACTGTGCCAGGAGCCATCCCAACCCAGAAAGCCTGTGTGGCCTTTCCCTGCTACCCTGAGGGCCTGGCCCAGGGCCGCCTCCCTAGAGAAGGCCATGGAGTGGAGAGATGTTTGGGGGCATCTGCTGCCTTTGGCAGGCTGTGACACATTGCCTGGCCCCATGCTTCGTCCCAGCTCTGAGCACAGTGCTGATAAGTGAAGGCTCAGTTCTGTGAGGGGTTAGCGCTTACCCATTTATGCTAGAGGGGAGGGGTGGGCACATGACCTTCCGCTAGGAAGACAGTCCCACGGTGTTGTGACAAAACCAAACTTTCCTGGTGCTTTAAAAATGTTTCTGTTTTGAGATACAGTTTGCATATTATACAGTGTGCCCATGTAAAGGGTACATTTTCAGTGGTTGTTTTGGTATGTTTGAGAATTGTTAAACCTAATTCCAGACAGTTTTATCACCCCCAAAAGAAACCACACACTGTATCAGCACCCCTGTCCCCCTTCCCAGCACCTGGTGATCGCTTGCTAGCTTTCTGTCTCAGGATTTGCCTTTCTGGGTGTCTCTTATCAATGAGAATGTACATGAAACTGTACGGCCTGTTGTGTCTGGCTGCCTCTGTCCCGCTTAGGGTTCATCCACATTGCACAGTGTGTTAGCACTTCATTTTTCAGACTGAGTAATATTCCTTTGTATGGCTAGGCCCCCATTTTGTTTCCCATTCACCCATGGATGCACATTTGGGTTGTGGCTGCTTTCTGGCTAAATGTGAGTAGTGTAGCTTTTACCATTCACACTCAAGGTTTTGTTGGAATACCTGTGTTCCATTCTTTTGAGCATCTTCCTAGGAGTGGAATTGCTGGCCATATCTTAGCTCTGTGTTAAACTTTCCTGTCACCACCAGGTTGTTGTCCATGCAGCTGCACAATTTCATATTCCTGTGGCCTTGCGCAGTGCTCCCCCAGCTCTTTGGAGACAAGGACAGACTCACAGTCCCTGCCAGTTTCTGAAGAATCTGGTGTGCTTTCACTGTCATTCCACGGTGCCAGGCATCAGCCGATGGAGGGGTGGACAGGGACGCAGAGTCCCCATGCAGCTCACGGCCCACCTCCTTTGCAGAGCGGAAGCACCCACAGCCCAGGAATGAGTGACTGTCCCCATTCTGCAGCCCAGGGTATCGTCTGAGGGCAGGGCCTGGTGCATGGTTCTCCCAGTCCCTGGCAAGGGCGGTAGCCGTTCTCTAGCTCGTGAGCATGTGACCTGAGCTCTTAGCACTTGCTGCGTGGATGAGTAGAGGAAACAGTGACCAGGGAGGACAGTCAGAGCAGCTATGCACATGAGGCTGGTTTCACAAGGGCGGACCCCCCCCCCCACAGTAGTTATTTTTGCAACATTTATAAATGTCAGCTTGTGTGCATTTGGTGATGCTCAAGTCAGAGTAGCATGTGAATTGATTTTAGGTTTTCTCTATAGAATTCCAGTTTGGCCCCTCTTGGGTGTGTCACACTAGCCCACACCCACCTTCAGTTGAAGCCTCAGTCTGTGGTCAGCTGGGGTGTCCCCGTCCCCACCCTGCCCACAGGGCATGGGAGGAGGGCTGTCTCCCAAGGCCGGACAGCCCCCTCCCTTCTAGAGCACACAGTGGGTCACACACAGCACCCACCCACAGGCACAGAGGTGTCCTCCCTGCTTTAGTTCACACTCACAGTGTTTGCCTATGAAACTCACTGGTCAGGGATCTTGTTCCTTTTCCGACACACTGCGCTTGTGTGCTGAGTGTCAAGGGTATAAGTGGGTGTGGTTTAGAAAAGCAGGTGCTTGAGGGAGCAAGTTGTACAAATGACTGACCTCCCTCTCTCTCTCTCTCTCTCTCACCAGCGATCGAACTCAGGTTCTTGTGCCTGCAAGGCGGGCAGTGGAACCACTGAGCTTCAATCCCCAGCCTCACTTTCTTTGGTACCAGGGATTGAACTCAGGTCCATGAGCTTATGGGGCAGATGGTGGAACCACTGAGCTAAATCCCAGGCAAAAGAAGTCCCAAGGGGGAAGTTTTTTGTTTTGTAGCACCAGGGATTGAACTCAGGACCTTGTGCTTTCGAGGCAGGTGCAGTGCCACTGAGCTGGCACCTGTTGACCAGAGTGTGAGTGGTGACCTGCCTTCCCGACAGTCACAGTCATGCGTGCAGGGCTGGGGATTTAGCTCAGTGGTTTTGCCGCCTGCTGCGCAAGCGCAAGGACCCGAGTTCGATCCCTGGTACCAAAAAAAAAGTCCATATACAACACAATCCATGTGTGCAGTGGGCACACACTGGGAGGCTGAAGCAGGAGGGTCACAAGTTCCATTCCAGCCTGGGCAACTTAGGGACTTAGCGAGACTCTGTCTCAAATACAAACTAAAAAATGGCTGAGAGTGTAGCTGAGTGTCAAGGCCCTGGGCTCAATCCCAGGTACCACAAAGCAACCAGCCAACCAGAACAAAGCAAAATGGGAGCCCCCCACCCCACTCCCAGCATGATTTCTGGTGGAAAATACCAGAAGTGGACCCTTCTTTACTGTAGTTGCTTTTGGGGATCTCAGAATGGGATTTGCAAACCCCTTAGGCTGGCAGTTCCACTTCTAGAAATCAATCCCAAAGACACAGTGTGGAAAAATACAAAAGGGTTGTGATGGAGCTCTTCATTACCACACTCAGAACTAGTGGAGCTGAGAGGGGTGGGCTCCTGGTACTGAGGGGAGGACTCGAGTGGGTGGGGCCGAACTCAGGGTGATGGGAGGGAGGGGTCAGTGTGCCGTGCTGACGGGATTTCCAGGTAAAACAGTGGGAAAAGGAACAAGGTGAAGGAAGAAAAGTTTGTTCTGTCACTTACCTAAGGATAGGTGTGAGGACAGTGGCTTTTGTTTGCTGCATGATTACTTATGAAACTTGAGTCATAGTTTTAACTTCAGGGCAACAATACTAGCATAATTGCTATTGAATATTGTAGGAGAAAACAAATGAGAATGTCTTTAAAACCTGAATTTTTAGCACTGAAGAAAATGCAGATGAAAAGTCACAGGACTTAAGTCAAATGTAGACCAAATTAATATTAAACCTGCATTGAGAATGTCACGACTGTATAAGGCCCTGCCTGGGCTGTCAGAATGGCCCACAGAGCCCCCTGGCCAGGGGTGGGACAGGTGATTGGGAACAGGAACAACAAGTCCCTAAGTCAGAAGTATTAAAAGCACAGCTACTTAAGAGGCTGAGATGGTGGGGGGCCGGTCATTGTAGTCCAGGAGCTTTAGGCTGCCTGGGCAACATGGTGAGATCCTGTCTCTCAACAAACAAAATATTCTTGGGCCAGGGACTTAGCTCAGTGGTGCCCCCGCCTGCCTCACAAGCACAAGGTCCTGAGTTCAATCTCTGGTACCAAAAAAAAAAAAAAAAAGAGAGATTCTTGGGCTCATGTTGGTGCTCAAAGGAAAGGAAGAAACTCATCAGTCCCTTCAGAGGGTGTCAGGGAACCGAGCCGTTTTGGAAGCTGCTGCGTAGAGGGAGAAGGGACATGTGTACCCTACCTCTTCTCTGCTAGAGACCTCTGGAGGCCAAGGTCCTGTGGCTGAGGGGTGGCTTGGCCCTGTCCCTTAGAGTGCTCAGGAACTGGGGTGTTCTGTGCACATGTGGTCCAGGGTGGCACCTGGCGTGGCGTGACTGAGGGATTCGGGGCTATAGTTGGACTTCAGTAGCCACAAGCATATCTGACAGATGGACAGCACACCCATGGATTGTTCTCACTGATACAAAACAGAGTAAGTTATAGTTTCACAGAGTTATAGTTTCGCTCATGAAATGGGCATTAGTCTCCCCAAGGAGGGCACCATGGGCTTCTGGGGTGACATGTGCCTACCGTGCCGTGAAGACTCATTTACAGAAAATGAGGGGAGGTGCCTGGTCATATGACAGGGATGCCATCCGCAGTGCCCAATGGTGGGAAATGGGACAAATTACCTAATTTTTGAGCATATGTTTGCAAGGAGGGTGGGGGTGGCTGAGTTCAATCCTTAGTACCACCACCAAAAAAAAGCATAAAGTAGCTGTCTGGTCTGCAGGGTGACCTTGTGTCCTGAGTTGTGGGCTCATCCATTATGGTGTAGGGACACACCTAACAGCATGGGCTGGACCATGGCCCTGCGTCTATTGGACCTGCCCAGCCCTGGTCCCAGGTAGAAATGGAAGTGGGCATTTGGATGGGCAGAGAGCAAAAGCCCTCGTGAGGCAGCTGCCTGTGGCACACCCTCAGTAGTGTGTTAGTAAAGCCACGGTGTGTTTGATTCTAGACAGTGTGGGAACTGTGACATGCCTGTTGCAAGTGCCCCTGGGCTGCGGTGGTCTGTGAGTCCAGCTGTCTGAGGCCTTCCCATCTCTGCCCAGGCCCCTCATTGACTTGTCCGTGATTACTCTCCCACGCCTCAGCACCTTACTGGAGGAAGGCCCTTTCAAAACATTTTCCCCTCAGTACTGGAAAACTCAGGGCTTTGCACTGAGCTACATCCCCAGCCTCTCCCCCCTTTATTTTAATTTTGAGATATG